AATATATCGTATGCAAATGCCTGTAGCTGAAGAAATAAGTGGGGGAGCGGATGTTGAGATGCAGAGGCGTTGATGTGGTCGCGATTACCGAGACTAGGCTTTCCTCCAATGATTCAATAAGTGATTGGCTCTCAAGTGATTTCTCGGGATACAGGGAAGACGGTCCTGGGTGGCGAAGTGGAGATGGGATGTCTTTGCTTATTTTGTTTACTCTATCGTCATTGGGAGCCCCTACATCATATGCATCACCAGTGTTCAAGCCGCTGCTGGTTTTATGAGCGGGAGGTAAGGCCGAAGAAGTTGTTCGCGTTTACCGCAGCCCCTGCCCGACGCGAGGAGAGGACAACGACCTAAGTGAGCTGTTGCGACGGGCCTCTCCTTCAGCGCCGATATTTGCAATAGCTTGTGGCTTTAACAAACCGCATGCCGACTGAGATCAAGCGATCAACAAGACAGACTCCTCAAAAAGAGAATTAGTGCAGTGGGTGTACGAACATGTCTTTGTGCAACACTAGTGTTCCAGCTATAAGTAGTGGGGGACTCTTCCTGTTTACTTAGACATTGTATTCACGAAAAATGGTCGGTTGTGGATGGGAGCTCCCATCGGTATGTGTGATCAGCTTGTTCTTTATTTTTTCGTTAAGTTGAAAAAGATATCAAATGAACACGCATGATTTGGAACCTCCGCAAGATTAATACCATGCTTTTGACGCAAAGAGTCATGGACATTACGTGGGTTCTTTAGCAGTCAGAACAAACTCTGGATCGGATGTAGCCTATGATCAAGTGTTAGCTCACGTAGCTGCCAGAGCTTTCTCCCTTAAGCAGAATATGTCACTTAGTAAAGCCTCGTTGGCGGTGCCGTAGAATTGATAGAGCATCAAAACCACGTCATCATCATCGACAAAAGAAGTACATCAGCCATTTGAACAGATGTTTCGCTGCCATACAACCATGATGACCCAATGAACGAAGGTTATAATGAGAAGCAGAAGGGGTAGTACCACCAAACCTTAATGCCCTAAGCTAACATTCTGGATCAAGGCACCTACACTTTGTGTTGATAGACATACTGTCACAAACAGCTGGCAATGGTACAAAGATAAGGCGATATCAGCAAGACAGCTTCTTTGCGGCGTTCTCTGCGTTGCATCATAATCAGCCCTAACTCCGCAGGTGACTCAGTCCCAAGGACTATAAACAGGCAATCTGAATAAGAGACTGCAGTAGGCGCGCCACTGGTGTCGGTTGCGACCCATGCCCTGCTAACTCTTGAGCCAAGCACAAGGCGAGTCACGTGAACTCTAGCCCGGAAGGTGAGACGGACCAACGGCACCCAGTTTAGTCGTCAGTGACTTCATTTCCCGCTGCAAAGTCAACTTCTGACAACCTCGAGCCTTGCGCTAACCTACACCTGGTAGACCGAATAAAGCCCTCCTAGGTAAGCGGTGACCAGGCATACGTAGCACGTGCCCGAGGCAACGCAACTTATTCAGGGCTATCTGTTGTTCTAGGGAGCTGACATGATTATCACTATCTATCTAGTACTCACCTAAGCACGTCCTCGTTGCGGACGAGCTAGCGCCATCGGACAGCAACAACGCTACACAGACAACGATGATCAAAGACATAAAGGCGCCTCAGGTCATCAGAACGAAGGCGCCAAGTCCCACTACCATAGCGCTGAACGGCCATCACTGTGGTCTTGTATACGCTTCCGAAGGAGAGAAACTCAATTCTGTTGCCAACGGTGTCGCAGTTTGAAGCGGATAGTTTTGCTCTTTGCAATGCGTGAAGTGACTTCAGTTTCTATGCTCCCATCTTTGCTGCTGCAGCTGCCGTGGTGAATGTATCGATCAACTAGCTAGAGTTCTGCGTCATCAAAGATTATGGGATCATCAAGCGGATGGTGCTTCTGCGGAAACACTTTGCACTTCGAATGTGCAAAGAGCATACCAACTAATTGGACCACTCTAGACTGGATATTCAGGGTTGACTGGGCCGCCCAAACATCGTCAAAAAGCCAGAAGATTTAATCAGCACGATTACGTGAAGCACGAAAGAGAAATAAGTAAACTCAGGAGGCAAAAATATAAGTGGAAAGAGCGAAGCAAGTGGAATACCAAGATATTTGAGTCATTAAAAAAGAACTGAAAGGTGAAGGAGAGCCAGTTATGAAAAAGGAAAGTTTGCGTTTGCCACACAAATGCATCGAGCTGGCGCGCAAAACCCTTAACCGTAGGTTCCCCAATCACGTGAGCTAGAAGCGAATTCCAGCTATATATAATACGGCATAACAGAGGAGCTTCCGTCCTAATCCAATCAGACCGTTGTTTATTAAGCTTCAGTGGGTGCCCGCGGAGATTAGATAGCGTAGTGGGAATAAGTACCCCTGACAAACCCGGGCCAAAGTTACCCGTCAATAAAAGATAGGTGAGAAACGGGTTACCTTTAATCCTTCGGTAGTCCATTGAGTACATCCCCAAACTGAGCAAGCATTCAGGATACGTCTGTCCCCGTAGACCCTGCACTAACCGAGTGCCCACTCGTAACACCCTCTCCAAGTCCATTTTGTCTCGGTTAAGACATGGTGGACAAGTCTGGATACAATACACAAGGTGGGGTCGGACGAATGCTGAGAATAGCTTCAGAAACAAATTGGCCGTTAGGATTCCGAAAGAGCGGCGGATCAACCACATCATGAGAAGCCCCGACAAGCAGCCTTCTTCCAATTGTCGCCAGAATGAAGTGCTGATGAGTGTACGACTCCTAAATCAACCTGCTGAGTGATAAGAGGGAATTCACCACCGCCGACAACATATCGGGTGGGAGGATTGGCAGCTCCGATTAGCAGAACCTAGCACCTGACCCTGTATTTGGGCATCAGGCATAAGGTGGACCATTCCCAGAGCCTATCCAAGGCACCCTGAATTGTCTCAGGACCCCCGGGGTTATCCGCATTATTCCAGAGCTTAAGGTCGTCAGCAAACATTAGTGATGACTCCCCTAGCTCTCTTGGCAAGTCATTTACATACATTGCGAACAACAATGGCCCCCATACCGAGTCCTGTGAAACGCCACTAAGGACAGCTTGCCTGAGAGAAAGGCTACGCCCCAACGGTACACACAGTTCCTTCCCCTCAAGGAAGGCAGATACCCATTGATGGGCGCGACCAGATATTCCGTAAGATCTTAAGATTAGTGGGAGCCGAAGATGTGGAACAGTGTCAAAAGCTTTCGAAGAATCTACGAAGAGCACATCTACAGCGTGGCCACTGTCGACCGCTTCCGCCCAGCTTTCACGAGCTACAAGTAGATTAGTCTGACATGAAAATCCCTTGCGGAACCCATGCTGCGCAACAATGCGAAGGTTGAATCTATTCAGGTGGTTCTCCACTGAATCCCTTATCAGCTTTTCAAACGACTTGACTACTAGGCTTGTCAGACTGCCAGGTTTGTAGTTCGCGGGTAGAGCGCCGTCACCGCCTTTAAAAATCGCAGAGATGATTGCCTCCTTCCACTCTGAAGGTAGGATGCAGCTGTCAAGCGATATTAAAAACACGGATGTGAGCGGACCACTCAGCTCAGTGGCCAATTCCCGCAAAAGCTCCGGCTGAATTGGATCAGGACCGGAAGCTTTAGAGGGATTGATGTCTTGCAGTAGCTCGAAGACCTGATTCTCTGCTATGCTAAATTCAGCTTAGCAAGAATCCTCTGGAACTCGTAAAACCAATACAATCTGTGTTAAAGGAGTCACCCGTGAAGCGATCCCAGTATACTGATCACTCAGAACACAAGCCTTGTCATAGTCCGTTTGCGCACGAATCCCGTCGGTTCTTATTAACGCTGTTATAGACAGTTTTGCTTCGCTGCGTCTTTTAACGTAAGCAGATAACTTCTTGGGATTAGCTGCGGCCGAGTCCGCTAAACCCTGCTCGTATTGGTGACGAGCAGTTCTGAGATGTTGCTTACATTTATCTCTAATCTCTCGATAGATATCATAGGTACTGGCTGATGGAGCTGTTTGGTAGTTTCGTCAGCATCTAGACCGTTTCTTGAGTAGGAACTTGCCTGTGGTATCTACCCATGGAGGCTGTGCCCTTAAACCACTTTTCCAAATGAATGAAATATAGGGAGTGGAAAGCTCCGTAAGGTATGCCATAAATTTATCCCAGGCTAACTGGACAGAATCAGCCATCGAGATCTCACAGTTCAGAACTGAAGGCTTAGATCGCATTGCTCTAAAGTCCGCCCGCCAAATATTCGGAAGTAATTCAACAGCGGTTTCTTGGTGCATTGAAAGAGCACATCGAAAGGATGTACATGCGTGATTGCTGGACCCTGGAGGTGCACGGTATGAAAAGTCAGTCACGAAATCGAGGGACTCGTGTATCGCGCCGAGTTACAGATCGCTGGAATGCGCTTCCAGATCACGTGGTTAGGGAACCTTCGGTTAAGGGTTTTGCGCGCCAGCTCGATGCTCTTGGGTGGCAAATGCAAACATTCCTTTTTCCTAACTGACTCACCTTCAAATTTCAGTTCTTTTTTAATGACTCAAATATCTTGGTAGTAAACTGGCTTAGCTCTTTCCACTTTCTCTTTTGCCTTCTGAGTTTACTTTTTTTCTTACTTCACTTAACCTACCCAGCAGGGACTGCTAGGGCAGTATACGTGGGCATTAAGTGGTTGGGGAGGGTGTGATGCGGTCTTTGTTTTAGGTCCATCAGTAATTCAAAGTTCGCTAACTCATGGTTCAACGACCCGCCGAAGTTGGAATACTCACGGGATAATCCCATGGTTCCAGTCCTGCTTGAACTTGAACTTGAACGCGTAGCACTCACAGCAAAACAATTGCCTGTCTTTTTATCTGCTCCATTCTGTTTATCTCTCCATGTCGACGCATACTATAAAACAAAGCATAATAATCTTTCGCTTTAGTTTACTGTTTTTATTTCATTTTGCTTATGCCGCCATTGTATTACGGTACGGTAGCTGGAGTTTCTCGCCCATCGTAAAGGGTGGGACTAAAATGATACTGCTTTGTTTTTTATCGTATGAACTGTTTTAATTTTTGTTTCGGATTTCTTCACATTTATTAGAATTGGCTGGTTTCATAACCATTTTTTTATCCAATGCGACCTCGAAGTAAACCTATGCACTAATGGATCTCTCCGCTGAAATCGCGTCTAATCATTCCTGGGCTGAATTACCAGCTAATTTGCGCACCCACCTCCATGACGACCCCAAAGAATACAACCAACATATCTTGTCCTATAGTCTTCGAAATCAGCTTCGTTACGGTGGCAATATTGTTCAGCAAGTAAAATTTCCTTTTATTGTTAAAACTAACTTCCTTCTGTATAGGTTATTAAGGGAGAGAGAAAATATTATAAAAAGCTTGTTGAGTACAGTCGTCAAGAGTATCTACTGTATCCATACCATTTGCAAGATAAAATTGTCCCAGGGCTACAAGTGACACCTTTCGTCTACTACCGTGATATGCTAATTGACCTTGTTCGCAGCGGAAAGTCTTACGATTCATTGCCGAATTTCACTGCAGTTGACTGCTTGCGATTGCTGGGTTTTGGCCGTAACCAATACATCGAAACGATGAATACCTACAAGAGCTTTCTTACTACTGCTGGTCCGGATCATGCTAATGATCTTTATGAAATTCTGTATGATATTTTGCCACATCAGCCAATAGAGACAGTCATTTTTGAGCCATGGCACGTCGTGCACATTGGAGCTGTTCTTCTGCAAGATGTGGAACAGTCCACGGAGAGTGAGCGCCACCTGATTGATCAAATTATCGATGCGGAGCGCTGCAATCCTTCTGGTGATAAGTCAGGCTTGCAAGTAAGGGAAGTAGACGCATCGGTTCTTCGGCAGTTGTTTAATCGAGGCCTGGTCTATATTGACGTTCCTGTGTCAGAGGAAGATCGAATTTGTGTTTCCACTCTCGAAAGCTTTGTTATGAATCGAACCAAGGGAGATGATCGCGAAAATTTGCTATATAAAATCTTTGTAAGTACAGATGAAAACACTACAATCAAGGAGTTGGCCGAATGCTTGCAAGTGGAAGTCAGCTTGGTCGCACAAGCTGCCTCTGTTTTCTGTCGCCTTGGTTTTGCATGCAAACGTTCGTTCTTTGATCCTCGTAGTGCGAATTCGAGTACGGACTTGGTCGATTCATTGCTCGGAGAGAGTGGCGAAACAGCTCATCACTACACGATTAATCTCCATCATTCTCCATCTAGTACCGGTCATAAGATGAATAAAAAGTTGGCTTTCATCTTTGATTCCACCGTTACTGCCTATCTAATGATGGGTAATTTGTCAGCGAGACTGAAACCCCATGCGGTTACCATGTTTGAAGTTGGCAAGTTGTCAGATGAGTCTCTAGAGGCCTTCTTATCAGAATTGGACAACTTATCAAGCATCGACGAGGGCGAGGCAAAATTGTATTATGAACATGCCATCAATTTACGCAAAGCTATCCATTTTCTCCAATCTCAAGCTCGATTGGATTCTACGGATTTCCACGCTATCGATCTTCTCCGTGGTGGTTCCCTTCTAAATCTAGAATCAAGCGCCAGATCCAGAATTTTGCAAAAAAATTACAACCTTATCATTAGTCTCAGTCCGATTACCTATGAAGATAAGCAAGCCTCGAGTACTTCATGGCCGTGCCACATCGGTCCACCGGTCCCCGAGGCGAATTCCCCATGGTTTCGCCTCTACACATCATGCGTAGCAGGAAACATTTCCCTATGTGCTGACGAACCGGAGGCTCAAAACGGTGTGCTACCCTTGCTTCTGCTTGTACGTGGAGCTCGGTTGTCCTATCTTCCTCAATGTTTCTTGGCATGTTCTCGCTTCTTGGTCACCACATGGGGTCACGATCCCGTATCCATGCCGGCTAACAGTCTGTTGAACTCGGTAAATGATATGCTGCCTTCTTCACCTGTGCTCGTTCAGGTAAGTATCCGCTCATCCCGGTTCTTAGATTTAGCTTACAGTGCTTACACAATTTCAACATCCTGGTTTTTCTGCTTACCTAAAATAGCACGTCTGCTGGCCCGTGGCTGAACGGACAAGGCCGGAGATCCAGGGTTCGAGTCTGCTTAGGGAATCAAGTGACACGCTGTATTTTTAGCGCACTCTCGACTGGTAATAGTTGCGTGGCAGCGAAGCGTCAGTACTGCGTACCGGTGTCTGCATGATATCCTAATAGCACTTTTCCTTATTATTATGGAGACGAACAGTAGGGCCTGTTGTATTCGTCTTGCCATCGACTAATGGAATTTATGCTGTTTACAATGTTACCACTATCTTTGCCCGTGCTTACAACCCTCCCCACTTTAGATATGCTTCTCGAATGTGCTCTCTGTTATGTTTGTGATTCGTTCATTCTACTATGTTATTTCAAGAGCCGGAAATTGCTCACTATTTATCAACACTGCCGACGCAATTGAGTCATGTATTGTGCTTCAGCTGTCACTCAGTGTCTCGTGGTCACATCTTGCATTTATTTCCGGAGATTTCTGATTGCATCATTCCTTTGGTTGTCGTCTCTCCATCTCTAATAGCAGTCACATTGAACTGTTTTTCTCTCCCATCTAATCGAATATTCAAGCTAACACTCTCGCAGTTGGTCTTTGCCTCGTTCAATTAAGTAATTATAAGCGTTGCTCAACGGTTGTTCGCTCTTCACTTTTATCCTCAAACTCGCTTTAATCTTATTTACTTTCAATCCTCTTAAGTAGAAGGCTTGTACTTAGATTTCTTTTCCCCTATTGCCAGCTCCCCTTCAACCCTAACTTCAACTTAATGTTTTACTTTGCTTCCCTTTTGCCACTTTTTATCCTGGTGACGGCACATCTTTCAGTGCATGAATCATACAGGTTGATCTCAATTGATGTTATCAACCACATCTATAAACATGCATTAGCATTGGAGTTGAAGTAATTGGTGACTAGGCAGCACACCGCCTCATTTTTCTTTCGTATGGATCGACATTTTACTATCACTGGCTCTTTTCAAATTGAAGAACATTCGTTTCAGACATTCCTTAGACTATGGCTGATGTTATCCAGTGCTGTCACGAGATTGAGGCACTTCGTCATCACTTCTAGCTATTAGGCTCGTATGCTCGCCGAAATTACGGTTTCTGTACTCGCGCCGTGAGCTACTCCTATCAGTATGTTCTGGAGATAGGCATGGGATCTTGATAAATACAACCATGCGTTGTGCATCACCAATACCTGCACGCAGTGAGAAATTGTAACATGGGCCACTTAAACTGTAGAGACTGAGTAACCGTACTTTTATCGTCATATTGAACTATCTGCCACTGACTTCACTATGATCTTTACAGGCGGCTTCACATTGAACACAAAAGTGACGTCAGAATGTCTTCTTAATACTTGCGAAGACCTTGTGAAATCTCTAGGCATTTAAAGTTGTCACAGATAGCTTGGGTGTTACAAGTATGTCCTTGTTTCTCTCATTTGTGATCTGGTTTCTGACCCGACTGCAAATTAGAATTGCCCTCGACATACAATGACAGCGCTTGATGCTATGAGTCGATTTAGGTTGAGCCGTCCATAGTTGGGCTTCTGAGATGACGACTAGTCTAGTTGAAAGGAAGAGGATGATTCCATCAGGGAATCAGTCTCGAAGCGACTTGCAGCATTTTTAGATGGCCAATGCTCCTGAATTATAATATTCTTGCTATGTGTGAAACAAATGAAAACCGTGTCAATCCACATTCCTCATTCGTTGTACACGTTAGCTGCAGGTGGAAAACACCTCAGCCATTCTGCCGAAATACAAAGGAACAATATGAAAAAGGACGCCGGCTGGGTCACCAGTAACGTGGTTGGAAGAGGAGGCTATGCGAGTGGGGGAGAGACAAAGAAACTCACAACACAAACATCATTGAGGTCGGCTCCTAGCCGTGTCAATCCACTGTAGGCATGAGACTTGGGAAGGCGTCAGCAGGCAAACAATAGCTAAGGTACATGGATCACAAATCTCAGTGGAGTGTTTCGGTGTTGCCCTCTTTCATCAATGCACTTCACGACCGACCGGTTTCCTCCTGATTTGAAATCATCGTGTCGAGATAGCTTGATCCGGGAGTGGAACTCGGCACATAGTTGTTAGCGGCTATTGCCGTGATCACTAGGCTATGGAGCTCCGAGAGCAGCGCTTGACACAGCGGATAGAAGTTAGCTGTTCGTTATTGAAGTACCGGCCGTGTCTTGGATTGCGACACGCAACCTCAATTGTGGCTTTGATTGGTTTTGAAGTCCATCTGTGCAATTGCGACCCATAGACACATATAGATCACCTCGCGATTAGTTACCACGGGAGAGCTTGTGTCCAAAACTTTCGCTCGATGTGAAGCACCAGCGTGGACTCCGATCACGCTCTTGTGTGTGCGTTTCGGTGGACGTCCGCAACGTCGCTCTGATTGTATTGACCTCCAACCGGCGAAACCAAGTGTTCTGAATGTGTAACAAAGTACGTTGGCATCCGGGCTGCGAAAGCGCTTACCGAGCATCATCGAAGATCACTGGTTGCCTATTCGCCAAACGTTACTATCAACTGGCATGTCTTCATGTAGCAAATCAAATTGCCTACCTAGACATTGGGTCTATAAAGCCTCCGGAACTATGGATACTCGCCGACGTATTCCGGCTGGAAGCGTACACAGTAAGACTCGCAAAAATCTCAGGGCAAAACTGCGTGCTAGCCTGAAGAGAGACCGCGAAACCTGGTGGTCTCATCGTGCATCAGAAGTGGAAAACGCCGCTGCCGTTAATAATCATCTTCAGTTATTCCTTCTGATTCGTGAAACAGGCAGCAGCAGACCTGGTGTTAGCTAGACAATACACGACAAGAGTGGACAGCCAATCCACAGCCTGCCAAAACTTTTGGAGCCTTGGGATGAACACTTTGCTAGGCAGTTATCGTTATTTTTTCGGGCATTGCGTGTCCTCCATGTGCCGTCTCCTTAGATCCGCCCTCACGCGCAGAAGTCGAACGTGAGATCAGGTTGTTGAAATTTCATAAGTCCGCAGGGGCAGTTAAAATTTCCCCAACCCTCTTCACGTTCGGAAGATTGTTCACGTAGACGATTTACACGAGTTGCTAGTAGAACTTCGGGAGCAACAAACTGTCCCGACAGACCGGAGCCGCTCCGTCATTGTCCCAATTTTCAAGCTGGACTCCCGTTCGGAATGCGGCAACTCTAGAGTGATCAGTCTGATCTCAACTGCCTCTAAATTACTTGCCTCTATCGTTCTCCACAGACTGCTTGGCGCTCTTGAAGGCCATATTCGTGAAAAGCAAGCCGGGTTTCATCTAGATCGGGGCTGCATCGACCACATCTTCACTTTGCGTCAATTGTTGGAGCGCCGTCATGTTCATTGGCGACCCACCGTTGTTGTTTCTCGATATCAAAGGTGCCTTCGACTCAGTCGATCGACGTGCCATTTGGGACTGTCTGCTGCTAAAAGGTGTGCCTGATAAATATGTAAACATTATCAAAGTACTGTACGCGCATATTTCGGGCAGAGTGAAGGTTTATGACAAACCGTCGCCGCCCTTCAATATCTCCAGCGGTGTGAAACGAGTTTATGCGCTATCACCTTTCCTATTTACCTTCGTAGTTGACGAAGTTATGGAAACAGCATTCGCTGGACACAGCCTAGAAGGTGTGGAGCTACTTCCTGGTGAGCGACTTCTTGACTTGGAGTATGCGGACGATATTGCCCTAATCTGTGACAGCTCCCAAACATTCCAAACAGCACTGGACCGATTAGCACTGGCTGTGAATCGTTTTGGGCTATGTTTTGCTCTATCGAAATGCAAAGTACTTCTTCAAGGTTGGCAGGAACCCACCCCTGCGCTGACACTTGGTGGTTCTCAGCTGGAAGTCTTTCAGGGATTCAAGTACCTGGGCAGATATGTTAGCGTTTGTGGGATTGAAGATGAGATAACGAACCTTATGGCAAAAGCTCGAGGTGCTTTTGCCAATCTCCACCACTTGTGGTACAGAGGCGACATTATTCTCTCCCTGAAGGGCAGAGTTTATAACGCAGCCGTCCATTCAGCCATCCTAATCACTTGCGAAGCCTAGCCCATTAGTTCAGCCGACTTAATGAGACTAGTCACGTTCGACCATCGCTGGCTCTGCAGCTTAGCTCATGTCTGGCGTGAGCACCGCGTGAGCAATGTGCGTGTTCCTCGTGGCGTATTTGGTGCAGGAAGCGTTAGTGAACTGCTCAGCACCATTATATCACACACCAGACTCCGATGGCTGGGCAACGTGTTGCGCATGCCAGCACACCGACCCCCGCATCGTACGTTGTTTGCGCTCCGAGGGTCTGGACGGAAGAAATGGAGAGGAGACCCAGCGATGACTTGCTCAAGAGAAACGAAAACCCTCACTTTAAACTTGGCGTCGGTTGGTGCATCCCGACTGCATGGTTGGAGTCCTCCTAATACCGAAGGTTCGGTGGACTGCTGCATTGTAACATTTGCCCATTCTTGAATACCGGATAATAACAGAGCGAGCACCCATGTACATCGTTACTGACCCTAGCTCTTTTCAAACAGTACTGAGGCCAACACCTGAAAGCAGTAACGCAACACCCGTTTGGATTGCTCATTTCAATTCAGTTGAACAACTATAGTCCGAACACCGAGAATCGGCGGACCCAGTTGCCATGACTCACCTCGCATTAATAACATAACAACAGCGAGATAGTGTGGTTAGATGCAAACCGAGTGTAGAGAAGCGAAAAGTGTGTGCGTTAGACCAATCGGAATTAAACGAAAATTGTCAATCATCGGAGACAGGTCCGAAACGCGATCACAACCCTCAACATATATATATATATATATATATATATATATATATATATATATATATATATATATATATATATATATATATATATATATATACA